TTAAAGGGCTGCCGGTACAGGAGTGGGGGAATAAGAAGTCGGCGGTTGCGTATATGGGCTTAGGCACGTATCTGGGGTACTTTGTGAGTCAGAATAGTCGGGGCCATGTGTTGGGGCATGTGAAGGATTTGGGCGAGGATGCGACGGCGATTGACAAGGTGAGGATTTATCGGACGAATGCGAGGCAGTTTTTTCATGCCGATGATGCGGATTTAGTGGGCTTGCTGTGTGTGGCTAAGGCGTTGGAGGGGGGTGAGAGTGATCTTGTAAGTGGTTTTCTTTTCATTTCCTCCTTTCGTAATTTGAGGAGGTTTGGGGTTTTCAAAGACTAACAGTGTTATGGATAGGTCAGCAGCCACACGGTCTGGAACCATCTCCAGGAGAACCATCCTGATGTCGCGGCACTGCTTACACAGCCAATCTGGTATTTTGACCGCAAGGGCGAGACGAGCAAAGGGCAGAAGGAGTGGATCCAAACGGCAGTCTTTTATCTCGAGACGGGTGACAACCCAAGAGTATACAGCAAGTAAGTCATGCTCATCTCCTCTCGCCGAACCAAAATAGAAGCTGACACAGAAAATAGATGGGACCCGTACTTTGTCCGCTCTCTAAGCCGCTTCTCAGAAAAGGGCCTTGTTCCTCCTCTTTCTCCAGCCCAGGAGCGTGCCATTACCATCCTGGAAGAAACATGCCAGAAGTTTGCTCTGCACATGATCCTCGACGTGGGCGACATCCAGTTCCTATCCAACAATCACATTTTCCATGCCAGAACAGCGTACAAGGATTACGCACCACCGGCACCGCGGAGACACCTGATGAGGTTGTGGTTGAGCACTCCAGAAGATGAGGGCGGCTGGAAACTGCCATACCACGATAGCAAGGAGAAGAAGAGAGGTGGTATTCAGGTCGACGATACACCACCAGTGGCGCCTGAAGATGCAGAGTAAGATGTAAATCAGTTCGATGATGCAAATATCCTTTGGATTCGTAGCTAGCCTGTAATTTGTGAGCATACAAAAATCAAGAGTCCCTAGACACTGGTTGCAAGTGCCAGATTCTGCGTTTCAAAGTGGTATCATTCTTCTTTCGAGGTGCGGCTTCTGCACCAATCCTGAACTGCCAAACGCCGTACATGCTATACCATCTGTACAATCATCACCGATCCAATAGCCATCTTGTCGCGCTTCGTTCTGGCATCCTGTGTGGGCCAATCGCCCATATTCTGGTTACCCCAGGTTCCGCTTGCACTGAGTTTGATCGTGTTGAAATATTTGTCCCAACACTCTTGCGTCATTGCGTCTCTTGCATCTTGATATGCTTCCTCAGCCCTAGAAGCCTCGTCCACGCCCCCTGCCACCGCCGCCCCTTCCGCGGCCACCGCCTCCACGTCCTCGGCCACCTCCGCGGCCGCCGCCCCTTCCACCGCGGTCACCACCAGCAACCTCTTTCCTTGCTTTGTTCTTGGGCTTCGGTGCATCGTCAATGAGAAGTGTGTCGAGCGGTAATGAGTCGGGAAGTATGATGTAGCGAATCGTTGAGCCGCGGACAGTCATTGTATCGAGGGCTACGGTATCGCGAGACTTGGGCGTGTACTTGACCGCTCGGAGCGCGACGTTCATGAGCGGTGAAACGGAGGTAATGGTTCCATTTACAATCGTGCCTATGCATGTGTTAAGACCCTGTCTTTCTGGTAGGAGTATCAAGTGTTTGGATAGGACATTGCCTGCCTGCGCAACTCGGTATACGACGCGCCCGAAAGCAAAACATCCGCTGTTTATAGGCGAGTCGGCGGAGATAGACCGAGAGGTTGAGAGTGTCTACTTACCATTCTTGAGCTCAACCGTGACCGTCTCATTCTGGCACTTCATAAGAAACCTGCGCGAAACCGTTAGCCGCAATTGTAGCATTCTGTCCGAGGCGATCATACCTGACGAGCTTCATATTTGCTGGTTTTGAATTCACGCGACAAAATAGGTAGTATTGTGAGTCGTTCAGTAGTGAAATTAAAGGTAACCTGTCGCGTTGCTGCTGGTTACCAAGGTAGACTCGCGGGGAAGCTCCGACTAGGAAATTGCGATGGAGCTTCCCAGGTTACACGCATCATAGTTGATCCGGCCGCAGTCACGTGCAGTCACGATCACTCAGGCATAACCTTCACTCTTTTAGGAGCCAGAAATGGACCAGTTTTTTTGGAGGTTACACTTTTGGCTTTCCGATTTTTTTGTCTAATTTCACAACTTGCAGTATTTACAATGCACAATCAGGGTATCGTGCATGTGTAGGGTATATGTCATAACCCTGCCTTCTATCCACCAAAAGAAAATGCGCCCGATTTCTTCAAAGACTTATGTCCCTTGTAGTTAGACCTGGTATTCGTACGGCTGTTTCCCGGTGGCTCTAGCCATACTCGTTCCTGGACAGGCGTGAGGTCCGCCATCATAGCTTGCTGCATCTCGTCCGCCGACGACTGGGCCGTGGATTCCGCGGGAATATACTCGATTGGCTTGTGTGTGACATCGAATTCATACACCTCCTTCAAATATTTGGCGATTCCTGCGTTCTCTTCCTCGCTGCCGTTGCCGTAATGGCGCTTCAGCTCTTTTGCGACGAGCGTATCGATAATGTGACCTTCGTCGAGAGATTGTCTGACTTCTTTGTCGGCAGAGTTTTGCTTTGGTAGATTAACTGTAGCTCTCCAGTGTAGTCCCATGGCGGCAAGTCTATCCTTCCTCGACCACGCCGTAGCGCGCAGTGGAGTTGTCTGGACAAACCGCTTGATACGCTCTTCCAGATCGTTCCAATCAACATTCCAAACAAACCAAGGCTGCAACATTTCGTCGATCGCACGTGGGAAGTCTCGGAAGTGCTCTGTAGAGTAGAAAATATGTTTGATTTTGCCCGTCAGGAACTCCACATCCATGCCTGTGATAGTAGGGTTCACGCCAAGTCGGCGCAAAGACTCACACCAATCAATGTGGATAAGCTTCCGGAACTCTGTTTCAGAATAAATCTGTAGGCGATTGATAATCCGGCAGAGAACTACACGGAGTTCTTCTTGCGTCACTTCTCCAGAGATGTCTATTGCCGAGGCATCGAAGAGCGAAGGGTGAGTTTGGGTAAGGAGACGCGCGCGACTCTTTTTGAAATGTAGAGCATCCAATTTCTTTTCACCAATGGCCACCATTGCATTTTCAAAAGACTCCTTCAGTGCAGCCGCATAACTCATCTTTCGAAGATGTTCCCGTAGACGGTGCTCTATCTGCTCGATCTTCTGTATATCCTCTCTCGACATGTCCCCAGGTTGCCTTTGCAGATCGAACTGTGGGACTAGATTCGCAGCTCGCAGAGGTTCCATAATGTCGCTAGGCAAGAAATCTCTACTGTTAGGACTGACGCCCAGGTTGTACAAGAAGAGCCGGTAATTTTGTGATAGGAAACGCGAGTCTGTTGCGATCAACTTCGTGGCTCGGTCTACGATTTGCTGCCTCATAGATGGTGTCAACAACCCGTAAAAGTCGCTGAGCACTTGTTGGCTCTCCTGCCCGGACTTGATTTTATCAGGGAGTCTTTTTTCCTTCCTACACTCTGCAACAAGTAGCTCCACACTTATGCCAAGACTTGACGCAGGATATGGTAAGTTGCTTTCAATGGTTCGATACGTGTCTTTGGTTGGGCTCTTATAATATGTGGGATTTGACTTTATCAGGTTCTTAATCTCATTCATGTATTCTCGTCGCTCCTTGTCGCCTGGAAACAGAGGATATTTCCAGAATGGCGAGACACCTTCGCTAGTGGTAGACGCCTGTGCTCTCTCTGAAGAGTAGACAATCTGACCCTTGGGGTTCCGGTATCTTCTGTCAATGTAAAGGATGGCTGATCCTTTTGAAGCTTTGTGTTCCATACTATCGACTTTTGCAACGAGAATAACGTGATCGCCAACGGGGAATTGATGAGTGACTTCGCATTCCATTGCAGCTAACACAGAGTCACTCAAGATCTGTGGTGCGCAAGAGCGTGTCGTGGAAGGATGCTTTTTGTCTTTGGGCTGATAGAGCTTCAACATCTTAGCTCGCCGATTGTATGTCTCAGCATGATTCCCGTGGCAGAAGAGATCCACCATATTGGCGCCTCCTCTTTCAGCTGCCGGAAAGTGGACACGGAAAAGGCCATTTGCAGCTCGGATTGCATCGAGAGTTTGTGACGGCTCTTTGATGTTGAAGGAAATAGTGGGTGGGTCCAGGGTAACGGTGCTGAGTGAAGAGACAGCAACGCCCATGGGTACATGCTTTCCGGTCTCGGGGTCAATGTGTAGGACAGTAATGACCGCAACAGAGCTAGGCACATTGCGCATTAATTGGCGAACAGAATTTTTTAATTTCGCCTGCCTAAGCTCCGAATCGGAGAGTTCGGGTAAGATGTCGTGCCCGTCGGTGCTTGGTTGGCTGTTTGCTATTTCCTCCCGTATACTGTCTGCTGGTCGAAGTGCTGGTATTTCCGTTCCACTTGCCGTCCCTCGGACATCATCACTAGAATTGATGGCAGGTTCATCCTGCACTTGCGATTCCGGTTGAGCTTGCTGTCTGAGAAGACGAGTTGTGTGGTAGTGCTGTGGGAGGCCAATGCGGTTGCGGTAGTGCGTGCTGTTCAAGGCACATAGTTGTGTGTTTCCTAGCTCGGTGTCAACAATGGCTCGTTTCAAGGGGTGTAGGCATATCTCACGAGTGTGTAACTCCCATCTATAGAAGGCCGCAAAGAAGCGGCACGCCGAGCGCTGCGCAAGCGCCATTTCTGCAATGAAGCCTAGCTCTTCTTACCGCATACGTAGACAATTTCCAACACTTTCGTGTAATTGGGACTATCGAATTATGGGAATAGAGAAAAAGAGGGGTGCGATGCGAATGAAGATGGTTTGCGCATTGAAGATTGAATCGACTGGGATGTCGGAATTCTTAGCGCCGCCCAAACCTCCGTGTCTTCTCCGCAACTTTCTATCTCGACCCGCCATTACCATCCCAGCACCCTACCAATCACCATGGCGTCTCCAGTACCCTCAATGAGCGCATTGCGTGCGCTACGGCAATCAATTCAGCCTCAAATACAACAGAAAAATCAAGTGCGACACGCGACACTGCTCCGCCGACCGAAGCGACCTTATACCTTCACCCAACTCATAACCCTCTCCGACGGAAGCGCCTTCACTGTGCGAACAACGAACCCCCAACCCGTCTACAAGAGCGCAAAAGACATTCGCAATTCGCCGCTATGGAATCCCAGTTCGCAGAAGTTATTAAATGTGGAAGAGGATGAGGCTGGAAAATTGGCTGCTTTCCGAGCCAAATTTGGGCGAGGATGGGATGCCGAGACCGATGCCGACAAGGTAGGGGTTTTTGTAAAAAGGGCGCAATAGTGCGGAATTAAAGGCAATTGCTAATCTATCATATAGGGCAAGCAGACGGAAGATCATCTTTTGGATCTCATCAGCCGCCAGGGCAAGAAGACAGCAGCGCCACCGACAGATGCTACCAAGGCCCCGCCTGCGAAAGCGCCGGCGTCAGCCCCAGCAAAGCCAGCGGGAAAGAAGTGAGGGAGTGGTGTGTGTGTGAGATGAATTGGCATTATGTATACGCCAAGGCACTTTTGTACAGTAAGCCACCATGAGATGGTGAATTCTATGCAGAAGCTCAACGACAGTGCATTCCCCTGTATCCCAACCAAACACAAAAAACAGATTATTGACAAAACTCACGGATTTGCCAACTTTCACTTTTCCAAGTTGCATTACCATAACAAAAGAATCTTATCACAACCAAATGATCCCAAGCCTTGGAATTCTCTTGAGCAAACCTAAACTACGACTGCCAACACAGAACCGCCCTAAACCAAACTAGACACCGCGTATATTGAAAAAAAAGGGACTACAAAAACAAAGACGATGAACCCGCCGCTTCCCTTGCGCCCCAACCGACCCTTGCAGCGAAAGAAAAACGGGCCGTATGTGGCGCAGTATTTAGTCCCCTCGCACTCGCAACGGGAAGAGGGGGAGGGGGGAAGGGAGATTAAGCAAGTCAGTGGGCGGCCAAAACAACCAATCAGGGCAATTTGAATTCCAGATTGGCATTGAGGCGCGGTTGCATGTAATATGTGATAATGATGTGATGTGATATGGAATTTTTGCGCCCCAACTAGGGCGGGATGATGAGTCGTTTTTGATGCATGGGGAGGAAAGAAAGGCTAGCTAGATAGCTAGCTAGCCACCATCACAACACACACCCACACACCCGCACACACCCTTCTCTCTCTTCTGAGTAAGTAATAGATTACATGTAAAAGGTTGATGGTTGCACAACATGGGAGTGGCAAGGGCAAGGGGCAAGGGACAAGGGCAGGAAAGCGGCAGAGAACAAAAGCGAAAGTGCGTGCATGTGTGTGTGTGTTTGTGTTTTTGTGGGCGGCCCCAATACAAATCTGAGCACATTTTTTCTCTCTCAAAACTGGAGACACTATTGCGGCGTTCGTCAGTCAATGCATGTTTTAGTCAGGCAGGGGGCTTGGCGGCCGATTGGATGTACAGAGTGCGGTTTCTTCACATGCGAAGAAGTCAAAAAGAGTAAATTAAATTGTCATCTTTTGTCTGCTTTACGTTAGATGGTTGATGTTTCATGGTGCTCAAAGTTTTCATGCATTTTTTTTTTACTTTCTTTCTTATACAAAGCTGTAAAATACATAACACTTGTCAGACAGTTATCTTAGCCGTCGGTTAATGCCAAGGTGAAACAAGTAGCGGAAGAATGGATAATTGGAGCTCTGCAGCGTTTGTTGCAGCAGTGTTTGAGGCTCAACTGTTCCTGGCAGTGAGGGTACGCGTATAAGCGGAAGGAGTTCCGCTTTCGGTTGACATGTTCCGTGGTAACATGTGCAGCTGCAGTTTGCTCGGACAAAGTCCTGTCATGGCAAGGCGGGGGTCTGCAATCATGTTTGTAAAGTCAGTCGATGTTACCGGGATATGGTTGTGGTGGTAGTTATTGGAATTTTATAACGTTGTAGTGCATGAAAGGCAGGGGTGTGCCGTAACGGCATCGGCACTGGTGCCGAATGATACGTAAGGACTACAAGAACGGTACGCCATAGCTCCATGAACAGCGCCTGATTAATAGCAAACATATAGTATAGCACCAAAATGTGCATGTGGGGTATAGCGGGATGTATAGCAGGCACCAGAATGCGCCCAGGTTCACTGTCGCCTGACCTGATCCGGCGAGCACGTGTCGACGGGCGGGAGCAAGCGCTGGTAGGATTGCTCGCCTACGATGGTCGACTCTCTGTGCTCTAAGAAGGTGCGGATGCGCTCGTCGCGGTTGCCGCTGGCGCTCAGGGTTGCGTTCCTGCTGCGCCGGTATTCCATGCTCGCCTCTCGGTGGATCTGGTCGCGACGCTCAATGACAGAGTTGTTGAAGGAATTGAAGCGGGTGCCTTGGACGACACCTCCAATGCTCACAAATGCGAAGAGGAGGGCCATGAAGGTGAAATTTGACATTTGGATGGTGCGGGGGTCAGAGTCTTTGGCGCCGCTGTTCTCATGGTGCCAGCGCTCCCAATCCTCCCAGGTTGCATTGGTGCGGGGGTCGGTAGTCCAACGACGTGCGTCATAGTCCCAGTCGCTGTGTCGTGGGGCAGTGGGCGTGTGGTGGTGGCCTGCCCAGCCATGGCCCCAGGCATCATACGCCTTGCGTTTCTCAACATCCGAAAGGATATCGTGTGCAGTGACGAGCATGCGATAGCGCTCAAGGCGCACGTGGAGAGGCAGCTGGGCTATGGCAGGGGAAACATGGCTGCGGTCCGGGTGGTAGAGCTTGACGAGGACGTAGAAGCGATGTTTGGTATATGCATCGCCCTTGCGGCACTGGAGGATCTGGTAAGGCGTGGGTGTTTTATGGGGCCTCTGGGGTTCGGGCCACGTCAGCAGGTCGGCATCGAGGTGTTGGGCGTATGTGCGCCGCTGCTGGTAGTAGACGGGGTGGTGGTGATAATGGTGGTCGTGTTGGTGTCGTGGTTGAGGGTGGACAAATGTATGACGGCATGACTGGCGCGGGCTATTACTGCTGTTGTTGTTGCTGCTGCCACCGCCCAGGTACAGCGGGCTGAGGCCAGCATACGACGATACAAAGAGCGGGCATTTCTTGGACAGCATGGTCGGGCAACAGCTGCCGTGGGCGGGCGTACATTTCACAGCCCGTCAGTTGGTCGGTCGGTCAGTCAAGCAGTAGTCAGTCAGTCATCACTCAGGCAATCGGTCGGTCGGTAGTCGTGTGGGGATGGTGGCGCTGATCCATTTCATGCGCCGCGCCGCCGTATACGCTAAGCCTACCTGGGCCAGGATGCGGCGTCTGGCCGTCTGGTCGTCTGGTCGTCTGGCCGTCTCGTCCTTGTTGTCTCCGTCGTCCCCCTTTGCTGGTGTAGTATATCGGACGAGCAGCAAGTGCTAGAGGGAGAAAAAGGGCGGCCGCAGGCGCCGTCGTCGCAGAGCAGCCAGCCACCATGCACGCGCGGTCAGTTCCGCTCCCCTCCAGTTGCTCCGAGCGGCGCGGCGTGGAACTTCGTGGAGCGCGAGTCAGGCCCCGTTTGACGTGAACTCCTTCGTGCTCGCTTGCGCATGCCATTCAGACGCCAACCCCCTGCACCGACACCGACAGCTGGGTCGCCGTGCATGAACGGCACCCTGCAACACATCCACCCGCCGACCCTTCTTGTCCTCGTCAACGTCCGCTCGCTGGCCTGCCCACTGGGGTCCAGAGGGCGCTGTCCTGCCATCAAACATAACCCGTTTGCTACCTCCCAGTCGAGACCGCCGCCTTTGTTCTCGTCTCGTGCCCCCGTCTTAGCCTTTCACTTCTCTACGGTCCTTTCCGCCTGACGCTTGCATTACTTGCATTTATATCCTGCTAACTCCCACCCACGCTCACCCACTCCCATACCATCATCATCATCCAGCTTGCCCAACACGTACCTGAAGAGCAATGGCAACCCTCCGTGACACGCCCCGACAGCCAAGGGAAGGCTACCTCAACTTGACCCGCCGTATGGAGAATGAAGAGCAGGACCAGTTTGATGTCGACCTGACCATCCTCGACTTTCTCGTCTTCAAAGCCACCGGCCTCATCTTCGAGTGGAAGTCAAGCAGTGACCCCTACCATTCAGACCTTCCCAATGCCCTAGTCAACATGACTGCCGGTATGCCTAACTTGTCTTTGCCGTGCTGACCCCAAATCATTGACGCCAAGTAGATTGGAGGGTCTTCCTTGGCCACCGCCACCAAGGCCGCTGTCTGGACTCCAAAGCCTCATTTCGGTCGCGCCTGCTGCAGTTTGCTCTACTCTTCACCCACCGCCTGCACCACACCGAAACATGGACAACCGAAGCATCCCTCAACAGCCTGCGCGAGCAAAACAAGAGCCGCGGCGAGTACTGGCAGCAGCGAACCCAGCACCCGCCCGCACTCGAGCAGCCCTTTGACCAGCACAAGGACTTTCCCCTTTCAGATGGTGCCCTCTATGAAAACCGCTCCGAACTCGCTTCTGCCCTGAGAATGCCCCTGGACCAACGGCGATGGGTCACCGACGTCGCCAGCACCCCCTCTCTGCACTGCCTCCTCCCCGTCTTCATCGACCTCACCGCTGCCCGCGCCACCCTCGACGACGCCTGGCTCCCCACATCCAAATGGTACGACTTAGCCGCGCAATTCATGCTGCAAGCCGTCATCGGCGAGTACCTCCGCAACGGCTCCTATGGCCCCGAAACCTTCAACACAATCTTCTCCTATGGCTGTCCCGGCGTCGAACGCTGGGCCGACGAACCCGCCGATGTCTCCGCCATGCGCATCCTATTCTGCGACCCGGATAACCAGCGCCAAGAAAATCGCGAGTGGACGCGCATCAAGCGCCGCTATATCGATGAGTTGCTGCCCGGAGATCGAGCGCAGTCGAGTCTTCAGGCCCTACAGGCCGCGCAGCAGCGGTACCCATATGCGGCGTTTGAACAGATGTTGCTGGCATTCTTGCAGTCGCTGCATGAGGGCTTGGTTAAACCTGATCTTGCGCAGGTGGAAGAGGGGAAGATCAATATCGATGGGAGTGAGTTGTCAGAAGCTGAGTCGAGGGCTATGATTCGACGCATGGGGTTATGAGACCCGACCCCCTTGTCTGCTTCTTCTTCTTCTTCTTCTTCTTCTTCTTCTTCTTCCTTTCTTCCGTGTTGACCACTACCCCTTTTTGCAATTCTTCCTTTCTTTTATCTGTGGCTTTGGATGAGGCTTGTTCCATTTCAATTTCCACACTGGGGCTGCTTTTTCTGCTCGCCCTGGCCTTCTTCCTCCTTCTTTTTTCTCGGATATCCTCGTTCTCATCCTCCTTTTCCCCTTGCTTAAGCGAGGACTTTGTCTTTTTTTCCCCAGGGACGAAGTGCGACTTAGCGAGAGTGGGACTTGTCCTATTTCTACATGTCCATCGAACTATCCTAAAATTCCTGCACTGTATCATATTGCTTGTCGACTGACTTTGTTCTTTTTTGTTGTCTATATCCCTTTTTTTCTTTCGGTATTTTCTCTAGCTTTCTCGGTTTAGTCAGACACAGAGCTAGTGTGTAGTCTCTTGATTTATTGCTTTTACGCTTCTGTCTTGCGAGAAGCGATGACGGCCAGATGTGATGTTGCTCACGAGATGGGGGGTGGGTGGGCGGTGATGAGGAAGTGGAAAAAATACCCATTGCGATATCCCTCAAGGCAATAGCTACTTGAACCAAAAAAATTCACAATGAAAAAAATTCCTCCCAAGATATTTTACCTTGTACCAGTTTTTTGTGCTTTATTTACATTTTTTTTAATCTTCTGCATCTAGGGAAAGACGTGCATACCAAGAAGAGAAGGAGAGAGATATCCACACAAGAAGATGCCCTAAAAGGCAACCATAAAATACACAGTAACTGCATTCACCCAAGCTGAACACACAGAGAGAAAAAAAGATGAGGTATTCAAGAAGCAGCCTTACAAAGCAGAATAAACCGCTGTACAACCCCTTCCACACTCGACCTTTTGCTCAAACTCGACTGTCCTCCCCTTGAACTTGACCTTGTTTCTCGGCGTAATCTGGAACCGATGCACCTCCTTTTCTCTCAGCTGCTTTGCAAAACCACCCCCAGCAGCAGATGCCGCTCTTTCCTGTTCTGCCGCCTGATCAAGCGGCTGGATATATGCCGGTGTAGCAAGATTACTGCGCTTGCCGGATCCAATCTGGTAGAATTCGTTGTTGCCCCAGAATAAAATGTCGCGGCCCCAGTTGGTGTCGTTCTCGGTGAGTTTGGATTTGCGTCCTGATACGGCTACGCTGGCGACGTTGTCTAGAACAGCCGCTGCGTGGGAGGCGCCGACAGAAATAGTTGAGAGGCGGATGGGGATGGGCTTGTTGTTGGCTTCGTCCCATTCAAAGAGGCCGGAGAAGGCGGGTACCTTCACCGGTTCGGCCTGGGCGTGCACCCACCGGCCCACGCCAAGTTGACCGGTGAGTCCAAACCCAAACGCCCACGTGTCTGCTGTCGTCCGGTTGCCCTTTGTTGCTTCAATGGCAAGAAAAGATGTGTTGCCACCAGCAAAGACGTTGGTTACCTTACCTTGCTGTCCAGAGTAGAACTTTTGGGTTGGGAGCAGAGACGGCGCGTCGATGTTTTGCGCTTCTGCATTGAAGGGGAAACCAAGTTGGCCAGCTGTGTTGTCGCCAAAAGTGAAAGCACGTCCCTCCGAGTCGCACACCAGACTGTGGTAGTCGCCAGTTGCAATCTTCTTGATGGGGAAGCCTTTGAGTGTGGTAATCTCGTGGGGGATGTCAAATGCACCAGCCGGCCGGTTCTCCCATGTCAGTCCAGGTATGCCGAGTTGGCCTTTGCTAGGGAAGTTCTGGGAGCCCGAAGCAAAGGAAAAGACGCGACCGGATGAGGTGAGCATGAGAGCGTGCTCGAGGCCGGAGCAAATGTCTGTCACGCGCTCGCTCCATCCCAGATTTTCAGGTGTGCGTTCACGGTACGAAATGTCGTTGGAGCCTCCCCAGAAGGGGATCCATGATTTGGACTTGGGTTTGGGTCCTTCCTTTTGCTCCACCTGGGATACAGGAATCGAGTATACGGAGCCGTTATTGGAGAGGCCAATGATGCGATCACGGGAAATGGCCAGCGACTTCAAATTCCGCCCTGTCAAGGTTTTCACAGGCTCCTTGACATCGTTGGCAAATGCTGTGCCCCATTGAAAGAGATCGCCCTTCTCGTCTATAGCGGCCCCAAAGTTTTTGTCCAGCTTGATATCCCTCAGCAGCTTGCCATCGAAGAAGCTTAGCCGCCGTGGAGTCTTGATGTACTTTTCGTCGGAATCGGGTGCGACGACCTTTCCTGTGTTTGACCCCCATGCGTACACTCCGGGGCTCTCCCAGCTCTTAATGACCTGGAGGTGCTGGGAACTGATTATGTTGCGATTGTCATCGCTGGACGTGGCCTGCCGCCGTGGGGCCTCAAACTGCAGCTCTGGGCCCTCTATCGCCTCTGGTTCCTCGGCATGGGCGTCTCTTAAGATTGACTCGCCATTGCACCACTGCCATGCGGTGGCAGTGGCCCAGAGAGCACCGACAGTGGCGATGGAACGTACGAAATGCTGCTGCCGCCGCTGTGCGTATGGGTGTGCGGCGGTCCGGACCTGAGAGCGCGGGGCTCTGGCTGATATGTTCCTACATAGTCGCGGGGTGTGGCGTGTGGGTAGTGTCGCGCGAGAGACACATTTAGTGCTGAGCATGGTGCAGCGTGATGGAGGGCGTGTGGGGTTTGCGTAGTACAAAGAGAAGAAACGACCCAAGGGTGTCGAGTAGGATCAGGAGAACAACATTTGCAGATTGTGCGTAGGTCCGATTATGGCCACTGGACTGGTCATTGGACACGCTCGATGGCTTCTTCACATTGCAGCGGGCGGGATCGATGACGCTTGGAGAGTTGGCGTCGGATCTCGTCTCCACCTGCTCGAGCTATACCTGATACCGTTAGCACCACTTAAATCCCCCCACGACACGTAGACCGAGCTCCGACGTGCAAGCTGGCGTGTCCGCTTCTGCAAGGCAACGTCAAGGAAACCACCCCAATTGGAGAAAAAACAATAATGTACGAAGGAGACTCGTGGTACAATGCCTTCGTCCCGCGTGTGGCAAAGCCCCAGGAAAAGGGCAATCGTCGCCGGCGGGAGAGCCTGCTCAAGCAGGAAAGCGTAAGCCCACCATCCGCTGCATGGGTATGTTTGAGCACTTCTGATGATTGTTTGTATAGGAGAGTCAAGCTGACTTCGGGCGCGCAGAAGCCATTGTAGAGACTGCAGAAGAAGAACGTCCTGGCAAGCTCAGTGGCCCTCCCCCAGCGACCGTAGCCCGACGCGCAAAGTCATACAGCGACTTCTACACCGTAGTGCGGGCACACTTGAAGAAGGAAAAGGCATTGGAGAAGAAGAAGTCAAAAGAGGATATCAATACAGAACTCGAGCTGGCCGAGTGGTATGGCGGAGTCAATGACGAGCTGCTGGAAGCCAGCCATGAAGAGTACAGGTATGCATTGCCAGACTGGGACGGCATGAGAGTTGCTGACTGATGGCTCCCAGACACTATCAAGACCAGCTTCACATGACGCGAAGCCACCTCCAGACCGTCATCTCTGATACCACATCCACCCTCGACATCCTCTCCTCTCTATCGGAATCTTTCAAGATTGTCGAGGCGCAGACCAATGCATTCCGCACAAAGTGTGAAGGTCTCATCGAAGACCAGAAGCGCATCACCAAGCTTGCCGATGGTATGGAGGAGAACCTCCGATATTACCTATATCTTGAGCCTACGACTAAGCGACTCAATGCGCCAGGCGCTGGCAAGATTGTACGGGGTAATGAGTTTGTGGAAATGCTAGCCAATTTGGACAGCTGTCTGGAATACATGCAAGCACACCCCAAGCACCGCGAGGCTGAGACGTATCGCTCAAGGTACCGCTTGTTGCTCACTCGCGCTCTCACTCTTATCCGTGTTCATTTCACCGAAGCCCTGAGAGAAATTGCAGCCGATGTAGCGAAACGGATAGCTGACCGACAGCTAAACGATACGACGATGTCTGCGCTGTTGTACGCCAAATTCCGTGTTGGTGCGCCAGAATTGAAGAGCATTGGCATGGAAATACAAAAGCGTGCAGTTTTACCCCCTGGCGCTGCTCCGGGTGCAGAAGCAGAATATCAGAGCCTCATGAATGAGCTCTACCAGAGCTACTCAGCCACCCGCGGCCGCCTCATTCTTCCCATTATCACAAAAAAGATTGGAGAAATTGCACAAGCCCCAAGCACATCGAACGACTTGGTTGCATTTGCTCGTAGTAGCATAAGCTACATCCGTGGCATATGTTTCGATGAATGCGGCCTATGGCGTGAGTGGTTTGAAGGCGATGGCGGACTGTACGACTTTCTTGAAGCCGTATGTGAGCCCTTGTACGATCACCTTAGACCGCGGACTATTCACGAAACCCAAATACTCAAGCTATGTGAACTCTGCACTCTAATACAGACACGGTATATGGAGGAGGAAGAAGAAGAAGAAGAAGAAGAGGAAGAGGTCTCTCCAGTGGAAGCCAAAAAAATCGACTTTTCTGTCATAGTGCACCCCGCACTACAAGATGCGCAAAACCGCCTCGTGTTCTTATCTCTAGCCATCCTACGGGATGATATTGAAAGATACAAGCCAAAGCCAGAGGATCTCGACTACCCCGCAAAAAACAAAAAACAGGCGACCTCTGGAGCAAAGTCAAATCAACCAGCCTTATCTGGAAAGAAGCAACCAAAGTCCGAGGACCCCCCAACGCCATTACTACCAAATGCACCCACGATTGTTGATGAAGATGATTCCGATGCTCGATGGAATTTTAACACTGAAGCTGCGTTCAAGGACTGGTATCCAACCTTGCGAAAGGCTATTTGGTTGCTCAGTAAGATTTACAGGCTTGTGCATGTATGTATCAAATCATCCGCCGTTGAGTTTTTGTGCTAATGTCGCTCATAGTCCTCCGTCTTTGATGACCTAGCTCACCGCATCGTTCACAGCACCACCCTCTCACTCACCCAAGCGGGTTCACTCCTTGCCAAATCAACATCACCTACAGATGCTGCCTTGTTTCTCATTTCGCACTTGCTTCTCTTGAAACAACAAATCGTAACTTTCGACATTGAGTTCGTTACACCGGAGACTGAGGTTCAATACAACTTCTCCAGCGTAACGAACACCTTCTGGGAACTTCGCGCACGAGGTGGCCTTTTCAACCCGCGCAACCTGGTCGGCCTGTTGATTCCTAAAGTCGTGGAAAACATGCTGGATGCAAAGGCAGAAGTAGATGCCCGTCTACGTCAAGCAATCAATGATTTTACTGGCCAATTCGTGAACAGGATAACATCACCGATCGACACAAAGAACAACAAAAAGGTGCCAGTCAACGAAGCTCCCGCGCGTATCAGCAAGATTCGGCAGAACATTGAGCACGAAACACTGT